TGAGACAAAGTATATGTGAACTGCTGTATGAAAAGTGAATTTACTTTGTAAATCTTCACCCAAATCCTAATAAAAAAAAAAAAAAAACTAGTCTGAAGTAAGGATTATACCTGAACATAAAGAAAACAAAAATCCTCACAACTGGACCTATAAACAGCATCACGATCAATGGAGAAAAGATTGAAGTTGTCAAAGACTTCATATTACTTGGTTCTGCAGTCAATACCAACGGAAGCTGCAGTCAAGAAATAAGACAGCATATTGTTCTGGGCAAATTTGCTGTAAAAGACCTCTTTTTAAGTGCTGAAGAGCCAAGGTGTCTCTTTGAAGACTAAGGTGTTCCTAACCCAAGCCATGGTATTTTCAATTGCCTCATATGCTGGGCAGTGAGTAAGGAAGACCAAAGAAGAGTTGATGCTTTTGAGTTGTGGTTTTGGCAAAAAAATAATGAAAGTACCGTGGACTGCCTGAAGAACTATAACTGATCTGTCCTGGAAGAAGTGCAGCCAGAATGCTCCTTAGAAATGAGGGTGGCCAGTTTTCATCTCGCCTTACTTTGATCATGTTGTCAGAAGGGACCATTCCCTGATGAAGGATATCATGCTTGGTAAAGTGGAGGGTCAAGGAAAAAGGGGAAGACCCTCAATGAGATGAATTGACACAGTGGCCACAACAGCAGGCTCAGGCATGGCAGGGATTGTGAGGCTGGCACAGGACCAGGCAGTGTTTTGTTTTGTTGTACAAAGGGTCGCTATGAGTTGGAGATGACTCTACAGCACTTAACAGAAACAACAATTGCAAGTCAGTTAGTGCCGTCTGCAAAGATAAAAGCAAAACAAGAGAACTACTCAGGAAATTTCCTTTGCCAATTTGGTGATCAGAGGTATGCTAATAAAATGTCAGAGCTTCTAGCAGAAATAACGAAACTAAGAAAGAGTTGCATGGATTGTTTGGGTAATTATAGCCCATATTTTCGTAGTGACTCATTTTAATTCTATGTTCTGCATTTTAGTTGTTGCTCTGTTTCAAGATTAGTCTTGGTTTTATTTCCTGCCCCTTCTCTCTGCCCAGGAGGCCCAAGTACAGGGAATGCTGGGTTGACTTGCAGAATTCAGAACAAGGATGGTCATCACAGCACCTTCTTTTCAACTCTGTGATCCCATACTCTACAGTAGCATCTAGGCCCAGGGAGGCAGGTGCCTTTTTGAAGGTTACACAGCTTGGACATTTAGTCAATTTTTAAATTAATTGAGATGCTTCATGTTTATTTTTCTGCTTACTTTTTTCATAGCATTCACTTAATGAAGTTGATCCTGATGATTGGCAGAAATTTGTGAAGACTGGACTCAAGTAAGTTGCTTTTGTTTCCTTGGTGTGCAATTCAGTAAAGGTGTGAATGTCACTGATAATGCAAAGCCAGTGTAAAAATGGCGTGGCACACGCTTCTGCCCTCTTCACCTTCACAAGGTTAAAGAGGATTCAGATCAACAGCCAAAGGCTGATTCCTGTGAGGCAGAGGTCAGACATACCTCCTCTCTTCAACCTTTCTACCAATTCTGGTACCAGCCATCCCTCCCATGGTACTTTGCTTCTCTGCTGGGTTTGATAATTCATTGCAGTGACCACATGGGACTCACAGACAGTACTCAGAATTAAGAGTTTATTGGGGAAGTCACAATTCAGAATTACAATTCAGGCTCAGGAATGACTCTAGGTACAGTTCCTTGGTTAGGACAGTTTCTTGGCCATGCTCACAGGAAGTCCTTTCTTTTGCCTTTGGCCTTTCAACCCTTGGTCCCTCAGGCCTCTTGGATGGGCCTGGCCTCTGCTTTTCTTTGGCAAGTGTATGAAAGCGCTTTAGATCCACCAATGTGTGCCTGAGGGTACCCCCACTCTACCAGAAAGCCTTAGTTCAAAGGCACTCAGCTCTCTAGGTCCTTGACTGAGTGAGCCTAGCTCCACCAAATACCTGGAAGCATCCCATTTCTCTAGCAAGCCTTCTGCCTGAAGGTGCTTAGTTTTCTTGCTCTGTGGGCTGGGAAGGAGCTCTGGTAGCATAGTGCCTAAGGCATTTGACTGCTAACCAGAAGGCTTGCAGTTCAAACCCACCAGCCACTCCGCAGAAGGAAGGTTGGGCAGTCTACTTCCATAGTGCTACTGCCTCAGAAACCCAAAGAGGGATCTCTATGAGTCAGGTCCAGCTTGATGGCACACAACAACAACGATAACATGGGCTGGGAAGCCCACCAAACCATTTCCTGTCAGTCTTCTGGTTCTGCTGCCTCTGTTGCCACCATTTCTCTGTTGCTGCTTTTCACTGTCTCTCACTGTATCCAGTATTATACTTCTGTGTCTTCTGGGTCTAGAAGGTTCCCAGCACGGGCACCCCAAGTTCAAAGGACACATGTCACTCCCATTTCTTCTTCCTGGGCCTCCCCACTTTCCATGTCTGGGATGGCTCATTCTATGCCTAGTTGTTGTTGTTGTTGTTAAGCACTGTCGAGTCATTTCCGACTCATAGCAACCCCATGCACAGCAGAACGAAACACTGCCCAATCCCGCGCCAGCCCCACAATCCCTGCTATACTTGAGCCC